CGGCGCCATTTTTGTCGCACTTTTTTTTCCAGTCGGGTCACTTTGGGCGACCGAAAAGCCAACAGGCTGTCACGCAGGATTTTGTTTGTGGTTGCACTAAATAAAATAAATTAAATAACGTAGATCCCTTCGTGTTCTGTGCGTCCGGCTTCGAGCGAGACCCTTCAGTTGCGATCTTCGCCGGACCCCGGTCTTAGGAATCTTTGATTGTGATTCGGAACAACAATGATAATGCAGATAATGAAAATTAAGTTAAATATGCCATGTGTGCATCAAGATGCCAATTTAGGAATTTGAGAACTGTGACGTAATCAGCAACGAAAATACAATCATCAAGCAATATCAGAAGAAAACATCAAGACTGACTGACTCAAGGTGAAGACAAAATAAATGAGGGAAGAGTGGGAACTCATAAAAATCTCAGAAAGTACATGTAAGCAAGCATGGTCAGCACCTCTCAAGAGCTCTCACTCATCCCTCTAGTCAGTCTCTCTCAATTTCTCATCTTGCTGTTCATCTCTGGTGCTGAGGACCACGCCCGCGTACAGTCTGAGATTGAGGCCTCGTGACAAAGAGTCATCTGAAGCCAGCCAGCTCCGAGCATTACCACCCGAGGTACATGACACGAAAGTTAATCATGGAGCAGAACTCCTCCCACAATGTAGGCAGTCCGTCCACTGAAAAGATACCTCGTCTGAGATAGGGATACTCGGTGGGCTCAGTCAGTGCCTCAATGTCGATCACTGTTGGAGAGATATAGCTCTTTGCCAAGCCGATCATATCAAGCCAACTCGTTCCATCCGTGAAGAGAGAAGGAACAGGAGGTCTAGGATAGTCAGTGTAAAGCTTTGGCCCAAAGCTGCGGATCAGTGTAGCGCCGCTCTCATCGAACTCTCTCTCCCTCTGCTCGAGATATTTGGTGGTTGAGATCCAGACTTGATCGAAATGCTCATGAGCCTCTTTGCCTTTCTTCAGATAGGGTCTCAGATCGTGGACAGTGTCATCGGCGAAACTGGTCTGGACAACGAAGATTGACAGATCTCCTTGTCTGAAACCAACGACACTAACATACAGATAGCGGAAAGCCTTTTTGCATGATATCTGCTTGAGATTAGCCAGCACTGACTCGCTGACTTGAAATATTTCAACTGTACTCATGGGAAACGACTTCGACTGTCCGTCGATCGTCGTTTCTGAATATTGTTCCTGATAAGAACACTGATAAGGGTGTTACTTCTTAATACAGATCAGGAGACTTAATGATTGCTGACTTGAAAATCGAGTTGCTGCTGATCAGAAAGTTGTTCAACTATTGATTGAAAACCGTAGAAAGTTGGGTACTGATTGAATGATTGCAGAGTACTGATTACTGAAAACTGATCTCCAGTCTGGTTACTAATCTGATTACAGGTCTGGTTGCAGTTGAGAGCTGACTGATTACTGTTCTGAGAATTGAATGATTGTTGTTCTGAGTTCAAGCCGAATGATTGCCGTGAACTGACATTTCTTTGTTAACAACGAACTTTGGAGCGCGTCACTGCCCTCGCTCAAGCTTCGCCCTGGCCTACTCTACCTTCTCTAGGCACGAGCCGGTACTGTGTAACCTCCCGCCACAGTCATAAAAATAGAACACGTATTCTATGAACTTCTCTCACCTACTATCATGAAGGCATGTTCACTCTGAGATTGTTTACGTGCACCCATATCCCGACACGCAGCATCCTCCCATCCTACCCTTCTATCCCTGTTCACTCGACATTTTATCACCAAGATCTCACTCTCTTTCATGATGCCCTCCCCTTTCTTAAGGCTCGGGCCAAAAATTGGGTAGACAACCGATAACGATGATCTTGATTAGAACACTGGACGTTCACTCCTCCGCAGGTTGTCTGATGTGAGGCCTAGCTGTGGCCTGCTCTACAGGTGTCGAGGGTTGAACAGAGTAGTCGGCGATTGCCAACAATAGGTTGTTTGCTTGCTGTTCTGAATTCCGATTGTCTGTCAGTCAAGAAGACTGAATGACTACTAATCCGAAGAATTGAATGATTGTTGGATAGTTGATTTGTTGAGGTGGCTGCTGACTGAACACTGCTTGAGATCTACTAGAGTAATAATCACTGTGTCATGATCACACAGTGACTGGAAACAAAGTGCAGTTTCTCTAGCTTGTTATCAAACACCCAAGATACGGTTGTAATACATATCAAACATTGATTGCATATTGTTTGATCTCCGATTAACCATGACTGACAAACTGATTGAGGGACTGATTGTATTGTTATTTAATTATTACCAAAAGCATTGAGCCCGACTCACGGGTAACTGCGCTGAATACCGTTCACAGATAACAGAGTTGAGCCCCTTTTCTCTGCCGAACACTGCTCTCTGCGTTGAGAGGTTTACCGGACCAATCCTGTTTCTGGATATTGCTCTGAGTGTCGTTGATGTGTCCCTGGAAATACTAAGTCCCAGCAGACTAGTTAATCGCGTCACAAGGGGTCTTATCATGACTCTCACCTCTATACCAACTGTTGTTCTCAAAACAGGTGTGCACATCAGTCCAGCCCTACAAAGTTCTTTCGGCTCCGGACAACTGCTTCCCTGATCAGAAATGACACACTGTGAGCAGAATGGACGTTGCTTGCGTACCTGAAAGACTCAGATGATCGCCAGTGTCAACCGAACACCGACCCGGCCCTGGGGTACAGGAGTGCCAAGTGTTGAGCTACCCCCGATTACTCCATGTTTTGCCCTATTCTGCCTAAGGGGGATAAAGGGCCGTTCTTGAATGAAGGGCAAAGGTTTTCTCTCATGTTCAGACGCCACGCATTATAGTAATGAAAATAGTGGGCACTGTACTTTTATGCAGTTTCAGCCTTCATTACATGTCAGACCAAGACCTACCAAGACTGCCTTCCTTCCGGCAACAGGGATAGTGCAGGCAGTAATCTTTTCTGAGTGAACTGCATTACATTATCACTAATGGGTTTCCCCTAATTAACTGTAGTTGCACTCATCAGTCCCCATCCAGTAAGTACTTCATCAATGCGTAAGCCACCCTTCGCAACAACGTTTGTTTTTTGCCCATCAACTGCGGTATGGAAAGTGGGGTACTTATGGAGCCGCGTTAGAGCTGCTCTCTTTCTCAAGAACAGCTCACTCGTCTTCTCCTTGCAGTGATTGTCAGGCCTATTGAGGCGACAGTTCAAAGTTCAGACTCGACTTGGCTTTGTTGGCACTGGGACAAAAACCCCTAGTCCCCGCTATTGTCAATAATCTCTTTTGAGCATCACAATCTCAAAATTACATCAATCAAGACATTACACAGAAAGGGAGGAAAAGAAGGGAAATAGCGAGTATTGACTTAGAAAATCAGATCAATGGTAGGCGTAGGTTGGGTGTTCGGATCGAGGGTAAACGAAGTATTACTTGAGACTGATCTCTCAAGTCGAACTCAATAAAAAATAAAGACCCAACAAGCTCGATCGTCACCCCGGAAAACAACTGTTGACTCTCGATGACGGTACAAAGCCACAGTGAACCAACAATTATTTGCGATGCGCATTATCCAAGCTTGCAGAGTGATGACAGGCTAAACTGCCATCGTACAACTTGAGACGAGCGCGCGAGATAAGATCATCTCGCTCGCTCAGACAAACTCTACCAGACACCAAGGGTAACCACGAAGTTCACAAACATGCCACGACACTTTAGAATTCACTTACCTTACCCTCATTTACTTCCACAGCGCTAGGACAGAGCTCACTAGAGAGGTAAAAGAGTGGTAATCAATGTGGTTGAGGCCTCACTTTACACGCTACTCAGACAGGTCAAGCCCCATACATGAGTCTTACATTACCACTTTTCCGCGCTTTCAATCACTATGGCACAACGTAGCCCATAAGGAGGGTCAAAAGGTATACACTAGGAATTATCACACTCGCGCATGCACGGGTTCCTCCACTGACAACCGCACCCTCTCCCTTGACTGAAGGAGCACAGTGACGAAACGATCAGACGCCACGTGACTTGATGGCCTAATTATCAAACTGTCTATTGCAGTAGTTCAGTCTGTTGGCATCATCGCAGACAGCGGTACTCCTCTCTCCCTGACCATACCAGACAACAAACCCTTGCACCACGATGAACTTCCACGATTGGTACGAATGAGACTTACGAGCGCTGTTGCGCTCGAGCCAAAGGTAGTCTGCAACTTCTTGCTGATAAAAGCGACGTTACCAAGAACTGCACGATTGCTCTTTTTTGCCTCCTCCTTCCTTGCGAGCAGATCTCAGTTCATTCTCTGACGGCCTCGGTCTGGTTGCCATGCAAAGGGCTCACTAACCACTCTCACACGCACCCTTTTCACGCTCATGGTCTCGCCTGCTCCCAGTGAGTAAGCAAAAGATCAAGAGAGAGGATAATAACCACAAGGCAATGACACGCTGTCTCCTCTCTCTGTCGAGACGAGATACACCCTTCGAAAATAGGGAGCAGATACCTTTCCCAGAATGGTAGACTAAAACAGCGAGAGACTGAAGCGAAGGGCGACACCAGCAACACTATGCGCGCGAAAGTCCTCTCTTACCTCCTCTCTTCTCTCACTCTTCCCTCTCTCCTGCAGACCGTCATTGACTTATGCCTCACACAAGCGCGTAGGCAGTGGTTGTCATCAACCATATTGCGAGAATCCCCTTTTGTCTCCCTCTTTGGTCTTTCTCTCTTTACTCCCCCAGGGTAGTCCACGTGTAGCTCTCGCACCGTGTCCACTCCACGCTAACTCTACGCGCACTGAAGTCAGGTTGACATTAGATTCTCCCACCTGCACACACAGTTCCCCTCATGCGCCACTCGTTACAGTCATTTCTCAGGCTCGTCGCATACTGCAGTCCAGTTGACGTCAACATCTTCCGCCTGCTCACACGTTCCGTTCTCACACACTTCCCTTTCTCTCTCGTTGACCCTTCACACTTTCCTCTTCCCTCTGCTCGGCTTCTCACCCGTCCCGCGGCCTCTTGGCGTCAGCTGTCGAGAGCTGGCCTCGAGTCCCTCTTCCACTGGCTTCACCGCCCGGTGGTGCTTCTGGATCTCGCCTGGTCTAATCCAGGATCTGAGGTCCGTTTCCCCGTCCCCTGCCTCACTCATTTCGCTCTCCCCACCTGAGTCCCTGTCCACGTGGGCTTGTTCCAGGTCCGCCGTGCCCATGGAGGTCTCGGTCTCATGATACGAGACCGTTACCTCCATTCTTGCCGTCACGCCGTCCCTCTGGCAACGCCTCTCCACACGATCTTTCGTCTCCATGATAGCGTCCTGTAGCTTCCCATTAGTCCGCATCTCCACCTCTTTTCCTCCTTCCACATTGATCCTCAGTCTCATCTCGTCTCCCCCGTCGTAGTTAAGTATAGTCGTGATCCAAGGCCCCTCCTCGAACATGGGTTTCCACCGAATCTGGTGGTACCAGTAGTAGGGTCTATATCCATGCAAAGCCATAGTCGCGTCTTGAATAGCCAGAGTCCCGACCCCAGGAGTACGCACTTCGGATGACTTAACATCTGTCTCCACTACTCTAGCCTTTGGCCCCAGACTAGCGGCACCGACGCAACGAGCTAGTTCGCAAGTACCCTCAGACTAAGAGCCGCCCAGTAGCCTAGTTTTTCCTTCTTTTATAGGCTCTTACTACACCGCGATCCCCATACTCTGGGCGGAGAGTTCAAGATAGCTTTAGTTTTGGCTTATCAACATCCCGTGAATCTTGAAAATAATAAAATAAATTAAATTAAAGTTAAAATACAGGAAAAGATTGGAGCGATAAACTTAACATCGCTAGTCACTGCACACTCAGACCTTTCACATCTTGCCCCTGTCATTTAATCCTGCCGCGATAATAATTGCGACCTCCAGGCAGTGGTCCCATAACGGGATACCGACCTGCGCTCTCTTTTCTTCAAAACTAGTTACTGTCTATTTTCCTAGTGGGTGCCCGCATCTGATGGCAAGGAGGGGACCTATGACCGTCCATTCGGGGTGATAAGTCTCCTACCAATGCGGCCGCGGGTCGCCCTTTTTTTGGGGTCTTACCACACGGCGCCAGTTCGTAGCTCACCCACAGACAGTACGCGCAAAGTAAGCCTACTTAGATCATGGATCGCTGGCTCGAAATTCAAACCGTTGGCCTTCTCGCGAAAGGACAGGCCAACAGGTAAAAACTCGAAATTAGAAAACTTAAGTAATAATAATAATAATAATAATGACGATAAATGCAGAACGGCGCTTTAAATTTATTCCTGCGCCACAGTTCCGCCTGAATAACGACGTAAGTCCACGCACAAATCTTAAAACCCAACTTTCCTTTCCTTACTTTTTCCTTTACCAGAACCCACTGTATCTATCCCTTAACCTGGCTACTGGAGTCCTACCGTTCGACTCAGACGAACAGGTCTGGAACGGGTGTTATGAGAGGAATCGAGCCAGTCTAGGTCACAGGCCACCGCCTGAATAGCGTACGAGTCCACGCAGACCCCATTGTACCTGGTCTCCAATACAGCTACCAGGGCCCCACTGCACGGAAGTTAGATGCGCAGCTCCATTACAGGTGATATACGAAAGGTTGGGCCTGCTTAGGCCACATTACCCCCGCCCGAACTCAACGCCCGAACCGTTAGTCCCTCCCCTACGAAAAGACAGGCTGAAAAGAGAGGAACCGCGTCAGATATCAGTTGATGGAGATATAATAATAGTAATAATAATAATAATTATAATAAATGACCACTTTGAGTGAGACATAACGACGAACGACTATGAAACGTCAAGCTTTCTCAATTAGCAGTTCACATAAACTAGGCTCTCAACTGTTCATTTATTTTTCTTTTCGCATTTCCGCTTTTACTTTCATTTTCTTAGCCTTGTCTTTTTATGACAGTGACCTTTGGTCTGTGTACCTGACCCATAACTCAGTAGAAGAGCACTCGGCGCGCAGTAGAAAAGATTGCATTAGTCCCCCCACTTTCGCGTTCCAGGGCGAACCCGGCGGCTACAACGACCACATGCCGGTTGTGCAAGTACCAGGCCTACAGGGGTTCAGAAACTATTCAGCGAGCCGCGGGCCACAGAAAGAAATGTTGATACCTAGCAGAGATTTTGGCACACAGAGGAGGGCCGGGATACCGCGCCCTCCGACACCGGTCCGTCTCCTGTCGTCGACCACGACGCCCTGTATACCCACTTACACCTATTTTTAAGGCCTAGTTGCACGACGTTGCACGACTCTCCACCCGACAACATTGTGAATGCAGTTGGACAACGCGGCCGTCTCGCTACATCCGAAAAGGTCGGCGACATTCCTCAAATGGAAACGCAGCCGCTAAACGACAAAACGCAACCCCGTATACTCAGCCATTCCTGGCTGCGAACTGTGTTTTACCACGGGCGGATGCACTCGTTTCGTTTTCGATTCGTGTGTTGTGTGACGAGGCCCTTAGTCCAGCGACATAAATGGCCAAAACCCAATCGTTGCCCTGACTCTAGGCAACCCTGGGAACAAAAAGTCACACAAGGTATAAAGCCACCCAAACCGAAAAAGGCACCAGCACCAATTCTACCATCAAACCCTCACAAACCAAAAAGTTATGCTGCTGGCTACGTTGTGGAGGATTTAGGGTCGGATCCGAGACTACATACGGTAAGTAAAAAGCACCCTTTGCCCGGACCCCACATCATGTTTCCGCGTGCGTAGGGGTCTCTTCGATATTTTCAGCAGAGTGGAAGGGCTCGACATTGTGGTAGGTGCGGAGTGACTTGCGCCGAAGAAATTTGGATGAAAGCACAAGAGTGTTCGACCTGTACCGATAAAGAGGGCGGGTTTTGTCTGTGTGTTGGACCTGGTTCGTTTGTGTGCTGGACGGTCCGCTGTAGAGTCCATTTTTTTGTCCGCGTGGAGACCCGCCCAATGAAACCAGGCGCAACCGTCGACAAAGCTCCACCAACGCCGGGGCTGTGGAGTCCCCGTTTTCTTTTACGGCACAAACGGCCCCCCTCCAGCTTTTTCATTTCTTTTTCAATTTCTTTTTCGGAAAGTAGTGTGGGATCCGACCCTTAGTCCATATGCGGGTCGGTTGCCTTATATTACAACCTTTTTGGCAGCGGTGGTGTGATATCTCCCCTTGTTCTGGCCTTTTGGCTGGTGTCTGGATTGAGGAAGGCATTTTGTTGGGTTCGGTTAGCTGTGATTTGTCTTCCTCAAAACCCTACCTTTTTTAGACGATCCGAGGGGCGATATTCTGGACAGTGAAAAATGAGAACTGCCTGTACTGACGGGGGGAGGTTGTGTCGTTGCAACAATTACAAATTTTGGTCAAGCAGGCTCTAAAAGTCGGTTGTGCAGATCGATTGGTCCAGGAGGGTGTGTCGATCGGCCTTGGCCAATAGAGGAATGGAATGGTTTTCGCAGCGTTGGGCACACTATCCGAGCGTGGTGTGCTTGGATAGAGCGACTGTGGATTGTTCTTTTGGTCCTTTTTTGCGGGGATAGTGCGTATTGTGGATTGTGCAACCTGGTGGCGGGCAGGGCTCCTGGCTCCGGGTAGAGCAGGACAATTTGGTTGGCCCTCGTTGGTCGCTATGTGCTGCCTTGGGCACTGGCGCAGGACCCTTTTGCGATAGAAAAATACGTCATTTTGAAAGCAAAAAAACTACTAACAAAAAAATATTTAAGTTCAGCGGCCTAGCTCAATTAGTAAGGCACTCAAGTGGCATTCAAGAGGTCTGGGGTTCAATCCTCATCGGCCTCATGTACCTTCCTGGGCAAGCTTGGCGCCCACCACCTAGAGATATGTTGTTGGTCCCCCCGGGTTGCATTGAGAGACTGCTCATGTTCATAAGGGGAGGGGACCGAAGGGGAGGCACAGTGACTGACCTTTGGACGTCGTTAGACACTCCTTCCAAGTTCCTTGCGCCACAAGGAATTTTCCTTGTGACTCGTAAGGGAATTTGGGCTCTTCGTTCCACCTGTCCTCGGGGATGTCGCCCGGGGACATTTCCTAAGACTGATGTCAGGAAAAAAAAAAAAAAAAAAGGTTGTGCTTCAGGCCTTCAGCCAATAGGATGCCACCACGATCCAGATTCTCAGCCGTAACGTCTATCTACCCGTGTGCCCTCTCCTCTCCGTGAAACGCGGATTCCTTGTGCCCAAGGGACCTCGCGAGGTCCCCTGGGCACAACGAAGAAATGATTATGGAAATTCATAATGGCCAAGGAATTTCCTTACGAGCGTTTTCACTTTTTTTCCGGATTGCATCCCCGAGGATAGGTGGAACGAACAATTCCTTGGGGATTTCACATCCCCGAGGAGTGTCTAACAACGCCCTATCAAAGAAGCTCGGTCCTGATGCTACTGGCTGACCCCTGGCCGGTATCGCCCATCTGTTGTAGCAGATATCGCAACTACTACTGTCTTAACAAAAAAAAAACGTGCGTACGTTCTATTCGACTTACCTCAAAAAATGGACTTACTGAAATCGCTGAGTTTTTTCCGAATAGAACGTACCGTCGCATAGAACGTACGTACGTTGTATTCGAATACAACGTTCGTACGTGGTATTCCAATAACGTACATACGTTGTATTCGAATTTGTGCGAATTTCAATTTTTTTTTAATCAGAAAATTCTGAAAAAAAACGAAAGTTGTACAACATTACAATATAAGCAACTTTTGCCTAAGGGTCATGTCGAAATTCACAACCAAATTTTAGAAAAAAAATAAAAACAAGAATAAAAATATCTTTTGACAGCATTTTGCAGTGTTTTCTGATTTTTTATTTTTAAAAAATAATTCAACAAAATTTGAAGAAAACTATGTTGTACGAAATTAGAATACAATCAACTTTTGTTGAGGACCTTTGAGACATTCAGAACCAAATTCGAGAAAAAAAAATAAAAACTATGTCTGGTACTACAAGCTCCTACAAAGTTGTACCCTAAAACTTATGGTAGAACGTACCTAGTACGTTGTATTCGAATACAACGTACCCCGTACGTTGTATTCGTATACAATGTACATACGTTTTTTTTGGGTTAAGACAGTAGTGGAGCTCCCGTACGTTCCCTCTTTGCACTGGCAGGTTTGAGCATGAATGTGGTTGCTACAATGTCGAGTGCATCAGTTCCGCATAGGGACCCTTCCGACCACATCACACAAGATTTTTTTGTCGTGGAGCTTGGCCGCTCGGACCGAGTGCGCCAGCCATACCGCTCACGAATCCCTACGACAGGATAGGGTTACACGAGGTGCAACTTACCTCTGCTCAAGTGGTTGTCACCACGCTTGGGCAGGTGTATCCCCGCCGAGTTACCGAACCACAAGTGAAAGCTACTCAGTTGCAATAGCAGAGGTGGCCTAGCCGATGGTCTTTGTCATACGCTGTAGCATAGGAGGTACACGAGGTCGTACGCCTTAATCGGACCCATACGCGAGCCATTGCTCT